GAGCTAAGCTCCCTGAACCTTGTTCACTATGTCAGGAGATCATAAAGCAAAAAAGGCAAATCAACAGTTCCTCTAAGACATTTTACCCTAAAGCACTCCTTTCTTGCCTGTAACTCTGACAAGGACAGCGAGGGTAGACTGTCCAAATGTCTATGCTCAGGTGAAGACCACTGCATCCTGCATCCTGTTTCCAGTGATGCCCCTGTCTTTAAGGACTTTCAGAGAGAGGGGTTTATGCCTCTGCAGGCCACCCACCCCAGTGCTTCATTTCATATCCACGAAATCTTTCCATGCACCCCACATGCTGCAGGGCAGACACACTTCCTCCTGTTCTGTCTGCAGAGAAGGAGAGCCATGGGTTCTGGGACCCTGTGTCAAAAGCTTTCTTTCAGACAGCAAAATTGTTCTGCCCCTATTTTCTCTTCCCTAGGCCACATTATCCAGGCTCTTTGTGAATGTATGCATGGCACCAGCACAGTGCCTGACATTCCAGGATGTTAGTTTCTGCCCTTCCCCTGTGATGGACCTTATTTCCCAGTCAGTCAACACAGTCAGTATATTCTAGGTATTGTGGGGGATGCAGTCATTTAAGAAGAGGGCTCTGCCTTCAAAGAGTTTACATGACCAGCACAGAGGACACAGCTGTAAGGAATACGGGGGACTTAAATTACGCAGCACAGACTCTGTGATAGCTGAAAGAATCGACGTCCAGGATATAGTGTGAGCTGGTATTGTCAGGGAGGGAGGATTGAGATGAGCTAAATATGGGTGGGAGAGGAGAGAGACGATATGAACCAAGGTTAGGAAGCTCTATGTGAACTTAAAAGAAAGACATTCTCAGCAGATGAGAATCATTCCTTCCTTGCTTCCTTCAGAAATGTCTGCAAGTGCCAGACACTGAGCTAAAGCCAGGCCACACAAAGACAAAGATGGCCTGGTCCTCATCCTTGAGAAATTGTCCTTCTAGTACGGAGAAATAGAATGGTAGGTCTGGCGAGCCCCCATCAGGAAGGTCTGATCACTTTGCTGAGCCTCCCATGGCACTTCTGTTACAAGTCCTGGGATGCACTGTGGTTCCAGGTACCCTGGTCCAAACTCCCCCTTTGCCTCTCTTTCCTGCACCCAAACTGCAAGGTTCTAATGACACAAACTGACTTTATTTCATCTTTATTCCCGCCTGTGGAGGGCTTCATGCAGAGGACCTTCTCTGCATTGATGTGTTGAAGCACGCTGAGTTGAAATCAGAGCAGGAATTTGGCTGTCCCCTCCAACCAAGGACTATGCACATATATCATCAGCAAAGGAGTCTTGGTGGTAGCCTCTCTGCAGAACCTCCCACTGGTTTGTCCGTGGCCTGCAGAATTGAATAGCAATTCCTCTGCTTGGCATTTCCAGTTCCAGGGCACCTTTCCAGGCCCGACTTCTGCTAATTCTTTACCCTCTGCTCTAAAGGGCTCACTTGCTCTCTGAGGACATCCCTGTGCTCCACCCTCATAGCTGCGATCACATACTCTTCCTCTAAGACTCCCACCCTGTTGCCAGGCAGTCCAGTCTGGGGCAATGTCCCTGTGCTAGGTAAGACCCTGGCCGGGAAGAGGGTTCTTGACTCAGATCAAGAAAGAATTCACAAGCAGGTCAAGCAGGTATACAAGCAAGGAGTAATCTAATAAAAGCGAAGTACACACTCAAAGAGGGAGTGCTGGCATGTTCCAGAGGTGGGCAGCATGGTGGGGTTCAGGTTGGGTGGTCTTATAGCTGGAGTTGCAGCAGGGGGTGGAATAGTCTTAGGGATAGGTGAGGCTTTCTCGGAATAGGGAAGGGATTTCCAGGAAATAGGGTCACATCCTCTTTGTGTCCTTAGATAGGCTGCCTCAGAACTGTCATGGCACCAAGCAGTGTGACTTTTAGTATGCTAATGAGCCTAATTCTGAGGTGAAGTCAGGGACAACGCCTCCTCCACGTTGGAACTAGTCAGTTTTGGCAGGTCTGTTATCTGTACCCTTCCTCCCCACATCCCAGAGAACAGTCCCCATGGAATGTCTAGAAACAAGCATCTGGGCAAATGTAAACACCAGCCAAGATCCCCAATCCCCTTCCTGCTCATGTCTGGCTATCTACCTACTGTAACAGACCACCCCACCCCACTGCCACGTGAAAATGTCACATCTTGCTCAAATGCCACTTCTGTTTCCTGACCTTTACAGGTGTGTATGTTTTCCTGGGCTTCCAAGACTCAGTACTTCGTACCTCTTTTGCCTTATGGTCTGTATGGACGGCTTTGGGGAGTATGTCTGATTCCTTCTCCTGGATTATGAACCCTTTGGGGCTGAGGACAGTGTTGCATTGACATCTGTATCTTTTGTGCTGCTGACACTGTGCCTGGCCCATGGTACACATTCAACACTTTAAAGAGAAGTCTTAGGAGAACAGGTCCTACAGATGTGGAAATCAGGAGCCCTTTAGGTTTTTTCTTGGCTCCTTCAACATTATGTTTTCCTTAAGCTGTTTCAGCATTTCCAAGACTTGCCAATTTCTCAAGCCCCAGAACTCAAATAACAGTCCAGCAATCCCCAAGTACAAGGGAAGTATTGTCTCAAGGTGCCTGCATACAACATACACACAGACACACACACATACTCCACACACCCTTTGAGAGAACACACCCACAGTGATGGGTCCTGCTGAAACTATTTAAGTTAATTCTATGTCAAGAAAGTTGTAGGGAGCTGTAGAAGAGCTCAAGCTCTTCCAAGGTGAGAGGAGCCTAGGAGGATTAGTGAGTGAAGGACACCATGTCCTTGCCTGGAGCAAGAATGCTGCTGCTGCCTCTGGGCAGGTCTGTTCTCTGCACAGGGCTCTAGTGTAAGGCCACCTTTGCATTTCTTTCCCAACTGGGCAAACTCCTTTCTTTCATTTTGTCACCAGCTCTGCAACTACTCCGCTTGCACAGTGGTGGGACTGCCCACCTAACCCTGGCAAGGCCATCTGCACAGATCTCCTAACTCCCAGGGACAGCATTATAAAATAAGCAGATGCATAGATGCAGCCAGCTTCTCTGCCAAGAAATTCAGGATGCATAATCTGTAAGTGGTGGAAATCTTTCAGTTATTTTTTCCACCCCCACATTATGTTTTTTTTCC